AATCAAATCCAAATTTGGTTTATCATGTCTTTTTTTTGTTGCGTTTTGAGTTTTATGAGTATTTTTGACTGATCTTGGTTGATTATTCTTTCTCTATAGGGCGAGTTTGACGATTGAAATTTGGTTACGAAAATATATTTTTGTTTATATTTTTTTTGTATCATTTGTTGATCAATATATGGTTTAGGTTGTTGATTCCTTTTGTTGATCAATACCAATGTTTTTTTGTTTGATTTGTTATTCGTCACAAGATTAAAAGTGCATGCTTACAAAATTTCTACTTCGATAAATTCTTCACCAATAAATGTGACTTTTAAATGTACGGGCTCTTTTAGAAAAGTTTGGTTTTGTTCCTCTTGATTTACATGGTGCTCTTATGGTTTGTTTGTACAGAAATCCATGGAGTCTTGAATATATTTTGTAGGTAATCATGTATTATTCAATTATTTGATTGTCCCTTCTAATTTGAAACATCTCTATGGCAGTTCTATGTTTTCGATTGGTGTAGGAATAGAGAAGAAGATGAGAAGAGGTCTCGCGGTTTTCGATCAATTGCTCGAGAAGAACATATCTCTAAAAGAGAGGAGCTAAAATATCATGGGACTCATCATTACTCAAAAGGAGAGGCCATGAATGTATTAACATGTTACATGCTGTGGACACGACCAAATATAAGCACTTGAAACCGAACAACGATAAATTTATCAGGAACGCTGTTTTGAGCTTCTTGATCGCAGGAAGAGCCACAATAAGCTCAGCTCTCACTTGGTTCTTCCGGCTTCTCTCCAAACATTCTGAAGCAACGACCAAGATCCGACAAGAGATTAACAAGAAGATGCCAAAGTTTGATCTCGTGGATCTAGACGGTGCCGTGTGTGAGACGATAAGGCTATACCCATCAGTCTCATTTAACCACAAGTCACCGGCAAAGCCTGACGTGCTTCCAAGTGGGCATAAAGTCGACGAGAGTTGGAAGATAGTAATCTCTATTTAGCTAGTGGGGAGGATGAGATTTGTTTGGGGAGATGACACAAAAGATTTCAGACCGTGGAAAGTTGAGACATGAGCCTTCGTATTAGTTCTTGGCGTTTAACACTGGTCCAAGAAGTTGCTTGTGGAAAAAGTTAACTTTCTTGCCGATGAAGACAGTGGCCGTGGAAATCATACGAAACTATGAACGTCATGGTCATTCAAGGGCACAAAACCGAACCAGCTCCTTCCGTGGTTCTTCGCATGCAACATGCTCTCAAAGTTAATGTCACTAAGATTTGATTTTAATTTATTTGGTTTTTTAAATAGTTGTTYAGAGTTCAATAAAAGGTCAATGTGTCATGTGTGRATTGGCATTTTATAGTGCATGCATGTATATCTTTTGAGTTAGATATTTTCGAAATAGACAATTGAAGGATACTATGTTTTCGAAGTAGACAATTAAACACAAAATATCATATAGTTTCTGCAAATCATCCTCTCAAGGATACGATGACAATTGACCATTTTCAATATTATAGCCATTGAGTACAGAATGAGACCAAAATAAACGTGATTACATCCGTGTAAATTTCGAAATGGCACCCAACTGGTATGATCAAAATATAAGTTGGGCCGCGTTATATAATTGGCGTCCAAATAATCAATCTAAAGAGAGATAATATATGTCGGATCTGATGGGATCATAAGCTAAAAAAGAAGGTAGTTTTAAAGTTCGTGGACATTTTCTAATTGGTTGTGTTTTTTTATTGTGTTTTTATTTTC